ATTTACATACAGATACTAGGTACTTTTAAAAGTAAGCCATATTTAAACTTATTTCTTTAGACTACTTTGGTCTTATTTATTCCTACCAAATTCTCCTCTTTGTAATGACTGCCCTAGTGCTTTCCCTCAATCATGCCCCCACATACTAGCTTTTCTCAGAAACTTCCATTTATATTTAATGCCCGTATCTTGTAAATTTCTTAAAAAGGACAAAGACAGAACTCCATTCAAGGCCATAAGACTGCTTTTGCTCCTAAGAAACTGTCAGCCAAATTTCTCAGGGAGGAACTAGAAATGAAGTGAGAGACAATGATAAATTTCCCTTCTTAACAATCAATAAAAGCCCCGCCATGCTGTTCAGACTCCCACTGTGGAAGCAAGGGCCGTAATTACATTGTCAAAAATTCAAGTTGCCCAGGCTGACAGCGACCCCTTGAAAAGTGACATGTGATTGGCACTCGGTTTAGAGTGGTGAGCCTGGATTGGCAGACAGAGTGAGGAAGGCAAAAGGCAAGAGTGAAATTTCCTTATTGACTACAACTACCCAAACCCCAGACTGCCCCTCTAGGAGGGATCCTGAGACCCTTTAGTCATATTAAATATCCAGGTGAGTAGTGGACGTGGACAGAACTCCCTGAGCCACTGAACTCCATGAGAGATTCAGAACACGCCCTGCCCCAATCCACTCCCAAACCCAGAGAAAGAGAGAGAGTGCTGCGTGTGGCTGAGTGTTCATGTAAGTGTATGTGTGTGCATGTGCGTGCACATGAATGCATTTTTCTACATTAAAAGAAAAACATGAAATGTGCTTTCAACGCCATCCTTCCTCATGACAGCTGAACAGCAAAGCCTGTTTGCTTAGCGATTTTAATCTATGATAAAAACCAGCCTGAGCGGAAAGGTTACAGGGGTGGCAATGAAGAATGAGACGGGAGGGAGAAGGTGGGGAAAGCTGTATGACTGACCCGCAGACCCATCTGTGTGATTCTCTAGGACCCGAGCTGGAGTTAAATTGGTCTCCATCAGTCAGGCCTCTTACCGTTGCATGCTAGGAATAAAACGCCTGCAAAACGCTTCATTTGCTCAGCAGTGCTCCGCTTCTGGCTAAACTGAGGAGCATGAAAATGATTTCCAAGAAGCCTTTATTTAACCACGCCCGGGAATGGTGGTTATTCACTGCTGGGAAACAGCTGCACCAGGAGAGATTACAATCAAAAGGTGTTCTTCACTAGGTGTGGGAACAGAACAGAAGCTGCCTGGGAATGTGGCTGCCTCGTGATCTCCAAAGCTAAAATCCTTCTCTTGCTTTGAAAAAAAGTAGACAGAAATTAACAAGGAGAGAAATCTCTATGCAGAACTAGCCTCATGCCAAATTTTGAAAGAGAGTTCCCTCACTGGCTCCTCTAAAAGAAAATGAGATCATTGACATTGGATACTCAGTGGGAGGGAAAAAAAAAGAATATAATCAAAATAGCCATGGCTAACACTGCTTGAGTGTTAGCAAGTACCTGATGCTTCCAAGCAGTTCACAAGCAGTAAGTCTAGGGGGTGAAGATTGTGTTTTCCTGCTTTTAGGGAAATTAACTTGCCCAAGGTCACCGCTGATAAGTGGCAGACCTGCACTAATTTATGATTCCAAAACTATTAACCACTAAAAACGGCACTTCTCCAAGTGCAGTCAGTGGGATACTCCACTCAAATCATCCAGAGGGTTCCATTGAAGTGCACTTTCCTGGGTCCCCCTCAGGCCATTGGAGCCAGGCTCTGGGGGTGAGACCCAGAAACCTGCATTGTGGAAACCTCCTGGAGAAAAGTCTTCTAGGCACTAAAGTTGGTGAACCTCCTCACTGATCATCCTGGAAGCTGAGTGAACCCTGGGTCATTAGGGACCTTCTGGGTGCCAAGCTGTGAATCAAGTCGCTCCCTGTTTTGCATACTTGACAACCAAAGAAAATTAGTTTCTCCCCAAAGCCCCAGTGTCAGCAGACCCCACCTCTGGCCCTGGGAAAAGGCCAGCAAAATTACGTAACGATTTTAACTATGATGTACCGCCATGCCGGAGGGGAAATCTGTTTGAGACCTCAGGTGGTGAGGGAGGAAGGCGAAGGGAGAGGATTGATGAATTCTGTCTGTGACTGGATTCTCTGACTGAGACTGTGTAAAGGGAGTTCCTCTCAGCCAGTGGTAAGATCTTTCCCACATCACATTTCTTTCAAATGAGTGAGATGCAGCAGCAGCATGTCAGAGTGGAAAACAGCTTGATTTCACCTGTGTCCGGTGTGCAAGCTCTATGGCTTGGGAGAGATTCCCATCACTCCTATATTGGTGGGGCTTTGGGGGTACAGTTGTTGATGACAACCTAACCCTAGGAATACAGGGAAGATGGGAGCTGGGGGTTATGGGGAAAGGTGGAAGAGCAGGGGAGAAGACAGAAACAGGGGAGCAGGCGAAGAGATGTCTACACTCTCAATATCCTGAGAATCTCAAAACATATTAAAAGCATGTACTTAGCTTCACTTGCCCCCTATTGATTGTAAGAAATGACACTAGGGATTCTCTTAACTTGACATCTATTTAAACATAAAGGCTTAGGAGCACAGGGTACATTTAAAATACAGGCACAAAAAGTGTATTTATTAACTCTTTCACTGAGCCTTCATAATAGTATGTGCAAATGAAAAGCGTTGGGGTAAAAAAGAAAAAAAAGGCAGGGTGAAAGAATTAGGAGAGTTTTCACTCTTCTCCATTTGAATTTCCATTTCTAGCTAGGATTTTGTCCTATGCGTCATAGAGGACAGTGGCTCTCAAACCAGACGATCCCTATTAGGATTCAAGGTCCTTCGGATGGTCTATGGGCTGGTAGGAACAGTGATGGTCTATGGGCTGGTAGGAACAGTGATGTGCCCTCTTCTTCTCCAGCTATGTTTTCTCAGTGGCAAACAGCAACACATTGGGTGGGTTTCCCAAGTAGCTGTTGGACTAAAGTAAACATTTGAAGACAGTGGCTGATGTGTGAATAGATAGAAGACCCTCGTGGATCCTGGGTTACAAGATTAATATAAGCGCTTGCTGATAAAGATAGGAGAAAAAAGTCCTCCTTATTTTGAATGTCTATCCAAGGTAGTTATGGGTTTTTCAAACCTGATAAAATGTATCCCCCGTGCCTAGCACTCTGGCTGATCCATAGTCAACACTTAGTGGATACTTAACAAAAAATATTGATTTTGCTTCCTCTCCAAGGAAGCCTTGAGACAATGATTGAGGCTCACTGTAATAGACAGGGCTTGACAGAACAAAATGGCAGACTCCTCAGCATAGCTAAATGCCCATATCTAGAATTATTATTCCGTGACAGAGAATGGGGTTTTATTTGGTTATGCCAGCCCAGGAATGACAATGCAGACAAGATCATGTTTCCTAGAGACTGGCCACTATCTGGAGATCATATTTTTCATCTGCCTTTGGCTCATGCTATGTAACCCAAAGTATATAAGTATCCACTAAAAGATAATTACAACTCATCCTATATAATAAAGAGCTAATATGCAAATGGTTGTCATGCCCTTGTGCCCTCATGCCCTCGCCTGGGCATGAGGCTGCTCCCCCTGCCTGGAGGGGCTTGAAAGGGGTCCTGAGGCTGTGCCCCAGCTCCGGTGCTGGGGCCAGGGGACCTGAGGATGTGCCCCCCGGCCCTGCAGTGCTTGACTGGGGTGGGGCCGGCCAGGTCTGGGCCTTGCGTGATTTTGAGGTGCAAGCAGGTGGGTGGGGACTTGACTCTGGGTCCCATGGCACACCCCAGGCTCTGACAAGAGGGAGATTTTCATACACATTTTACTAATTTTCTTTCATCTCTGACACTTCTATTCTAGAGAAAGGCCAAGTAGCAATATTAAAATATTTCCTCTAATTAATTCCCTTTTAATGTGCATGAATTTTGTGCACCGGGCCACTAGTTATTTTATATTTACATTTTCCAGTTGATATTAAGAATTTTCCTGACACAGTCAGTAATATCCTGAATCTCAAGGAAAATAAAAATGTTCATGTTTCAAAGTGGTAATAATGATCAGAAGGCAAATAAGCCTGGCCAGTGGAGGGCTTAGAAGGGGTCAATGTGGGAAAAGGGGGTACATCTGTATAACTTTCAATAAGAAAGATAAATTTTTAAAAATAAAATAAAAAGAGGAAATTTCCTTCTTTAAAAAAAAAGGCAAATAAAATAGGAGCAGAAACACATTGCAGCCTAATCCCCGTTTTCTCTGAGAAAGACCCAACACATTTGAACCAAAAATCTAAGAGGAACTCTGAACCCGCTTCACAGGAGGTTCAGCCACAACTGTAACAAAATGAAACTGTCTCCATTTAGTTCATGAAGCCATCAGTGTGTACAGCCATCAGTGCGTGTGAAGTAATTGTGTCACTTGGTTTTCACTACATCGGGCTGCAATTACAAACACAAATCTCAGTGGCTTATGACAACCAAGGGTTGTTCCTCACTCACGTACATGAGAGCAGGTCATCTGCAGCTGTGCCCCGGTTGTCATTATTCAGTGTCCAATGCTGAGGACAGGCTATTCTCAAACAGAGAACAAAGGGCAAAGCATTGCAACAGCTCTTAAAACTTCTACTTGTCCCTTGCAGTACATCATATCCGCTCACATTCCATTGATTGAAGCAAGTCCATGGCTAAGGCCACTCTCAGTGGGACAGGGAAGTGTGCTCCATGCACAGGAAGGCACTGAAAGCCATCTGACCGTGGGAAGAGGTGTATCATCCTCTTACAGAAAGGGGAGCAAATCATGGAGAATGATAGTGTCCTCTGCCACAGGAATCATGACAGTTAATATTCCTCACTTAAGGAAGTAGAGCCCGCATTCTAACTTTGTCACCTCAGCAACTAATAACCAAAGATTATAAGTAGTTTAATAATTTTCTCCATTGCCCCCACATTGGCTAGACAAAGCCCTTCCTCATTTCCTCTGGTCAGCTGTCCTACTCACCATGCAAGGAAAGAGTTCCATTCCTCACAGCCAGGAACTTGACTCCATATGGAAAAAAGCGGGTAGAGTGGAAACTCCCATACAGTGTGATCTCAGCTTGGCCTTGGAAGGGCTTGTCCTCAGATCCAATCCGGAGCTCTCCACCATCAGAAACAAGGATGGAGTGCGCCCTGAGCTCAATGGTTCCTTGATCCATGAAAATCAGCTTGCCTCCTAATGGCCAAAAAAGAAGCTTTTCAGTCTTGTTGACAATTCCAATGTTTGATGAAATCCTCTGTGTTTATATTCTCTTGTAGAAGCACAATTGAGTGTATCAAACACCCAGGCCCAGAAGCACTGTATTATCAAGCCAGTTTAGATTAGTTATCACTATTCATTGCTCCTTTATTTATATTATTTTTAATAACAATAGCCTAAATGTCCAGCAATTTAGGACTGCTTAAATAGGTCATGAGAAAGTCATCATTTTTACCATTTAGCAGCAGATAAAAGCAGCAGATAAAAATTCAGTTAAAACCCTGCCAGGGTATCTGTGTGGTTAGAGCATCAGCCCACACAACAAAGGTTCCTGTGTTCAATTCCTAATCCAGGGCATGTGCATGGGTTGTAGGCTCCAACCCCGGCCAGAGCAGGGCATGTGCAGGAGGCAACCAATAAATGTGAGAGATGTGTCTCTTTCATATTGATGTTTCTCTCTATCTATCTATCTCCTCCCCTCTTCCCTTCCACTTGCTCTGAAAATCAATGGAAAAAAATATCTTCAGGTAAGGATTTAAAAAAAAAAATCAGTTTAAAAAAAAACTGGGTAACAAGTGAACAGGAAATAGGAATAGAAGAAAATGTGTCAAAATTATAAGAACTGTGGTAAAAGGAAGTGTAATTAGGGCTACCATCCTGACATGTGAAACATTTTAGCTGACCAACAACCACTGTATTTTTCATAATAGACTAATTTCCTGAAGGATTTGCTCTGCTCTATAGAAAAGAGTTGAGTGGGACTGTCTGTCGTGGTGTCCTATCCTACTTAGCCTGAGTCATGTACCCAGACTTCAAAAGGAAATCTGGAGCAAAGGGAAGAGATGACTGGAAATGCTTAGACACCAGTAATTCTACTGGTGATACATAATGAGCCCAAAAAGAGTTCCTACTTTTGAACCCTCATCTGCCAAGCCCCTCCAAAACTCCCGGGATGCCATTACTTCTACACCTGATTTTCCACACTTCCCATCAATTCTGTAAACTACCCAATACCTTCTCAATAAACTTCCTTGATCTATTTGTTTTTGTTCTTAATTTTTTTCCACTTTCCTATGAGTTTGAATTTCCTATGAATTTTCTATGACTTTTATTTTTTTGTTTATTTTGCATTTTAAATTCCACATATAAGTGAAATCATACAATGTTTATGCCTTTTAAAAAGATAGTTGCAATCAAATAACCTTAACTGATACAGATACTGTTTTGCTCTAATATTGAAATTTTCTGTAAAATAGGAAAGTTATCCTATATAATAAAAACCTAATATGCTAAGTGTCCGGTCATTCAGTTGTCTGTTCAACCAATTAAAGCATAATATGCTAATGATATGATAAGACCACTCAACCGCTCACTATGATGTGCACTGACCACCAGGGGGAAGATGTTTTGACTGGTAGATGAGCTTGCTGGTAGGGCCCAGCCAATCGGACTGCGCAAGACAGGCCGGACATGCCTCCAACCTCCCGCATCCCTCCCCAGCCCTGATTGTGCACCGATGGGGTCCCTCAGCCTGGCCTGCACCCTCTTGTAATCCAGGACCCCTAGGCGATGTCAGAGAGCCAGTTTCTGCCTGATCCCACAGGCCAGGCCGAGGGATCCCCCGACCCCAACTGGTGCAGAAATACATGCACCATGCCTCTAGTTTTATAACAAAATGAAATTCATGTACAGAATGGGGGGGAGTACCTCAGCCCAGCCTGCACCCTCTCCAATTGAGGACGCCTTGGAGGATGTCTGACTGCCGGCAGTCGGACATCCCTTTCACAATCTGGGACCACTGGCTCCTAACTGCTCACCTGCCTGCCTGCCTGATCACCCCTAACTGCCTCTGCCTGCCTGCCTGATCTCCCCTAACCGTCCTACCCTGCAGGCCTGGTTGTTCCCAACTGCCCTCCACTGCTGGCCTGATCTCGCCCCCAATGGCCTTCCCTTGCCGGCCTGATCTTGACCCCAATGGCCCTCCCCTGCTGGTCTGATCTCACCCCCAACTGCCCTCCCCTGCAGGCCTGATCTTGCCCGCAACTGCCCTCCTCTGCTGGCCAACTTGATTCTGATTGGTCGGTTTCTATGCCAGTCAGTGTCAAAATCTCTCCCTCCTAGGCAGCCATTGGTTCTTCACAGCACCCACATTTGGTTCTGATTGGTCAGTTCCTATGCCAATCAATGTCAAAAGCTCTGCCTCCTAGGCAGCCATTTGCTCCTCATAGCACCCAGATTCTGTTCTGATTGGTTGGTTCCTATGCCAGTCAGTGTCTCTGGGCCTATCAAGGGGGCCCTGATCAGAAAGGCATTATGATGTGCACTGACCACCAGGGGGAAGATGTTTTGACTGGTAGATGAGCTTGCTGGTAGGGCCCAGCCAATCGGACTGCGCAAGACAGGCCGGACATGCCTCCAACCTCCCGCATCCCTCCCCAGCCCTGATTGTGCACCGATGGGGTCCCTCAGCCTGGCCTGCACCCGGATCAGTCTCTGCTTCTCTCTTCAGGCCTCTCTTTGGCCCTGATTCATAGCCCTCTCAGCAGTCAGTGCTGGGTTGCTACAGGACTGACTTCCAGTTGGTCAAGCCTTGGTCATGACCCTATGTTACGACCCAGGGTTTTTATATATTAGGTTTTTATACATTTGTATATCATGGAAATAAACACTTAGGATATTAAAACATATTTTCATTATTTTAATACTTTCCTTTAAAAGAATTTAAAATTTTTATATTTTAAACAGAATTTTTTCAAAAGTGTCAAAATAATTAATAATTAAACACTTTAACCTGAATGAGCTATTAAATCTATCTCCCACTTTGTAAGTGGTTTGCAAAAGCACTGCACTAGACTCTTCTATCCTCTAAAAGTGGTCAGGGTTGCGACTTTACATGGGGAACACCTGGATCTTCTTTTCTGAACCCCATAACAACTTCCTATCTCACTCAGAATAAATAAAGTCCTTACATTGGGCTACAAAAAGCCCCTTTTGATTTGCTACCCCATCTCTGATACCCCCGTATCATCATCTTTTAAAACTTACTTTGTGATTCATCTGTTGCAAACACACTGGCCTGCTTGTTGGTTCTCAAATAAGTCAGGCTTGTGCATATGTTCTTCCTGCACCTGGAATGTTCTTCTGCAGATACCCATGTGCCTCACTCCCCCTTGTCTCTATTCAAGGGTTAACTTCTCACTAAGGCCTTCCTCTCCAGTCTATGTAAAATAGAATGCCCTTACCTCTGACCCAAATATATTTTTCTTCAGAACACTTAACATGTTTAATGTCTGCCCTCCCCCCACAGGAATGCATGCTCATGAGAGCATTTATCTGCTTTGTTCACGTCTATATCTTTAGTGTCTAGAACAGTGACCAATCAGTAATTAGCACTTAATGTATCATTGCTGAGTAAATCAATAAGTGGTTATATCTTTTTAGAAAATCTTGTTTGTACCTGAATGTATTCCTTTATGGACAAACACACACACACTCCCATTTTCTCAGAAAGGATGTTATTGCATTTAATTTATAAGACCATACATTGTCTTACTGAGCTAAAGATAGGCAAGGATGTGGAGAGGGCCCAGTGTCAGAAATTGCTCAAAATACAGATTCTATTAAAACAAGGAAGGTCCTGGTGAGGGTCAGTGAAGGGAAGACACTCTTCATCTGCCCAAGTCCTAAATCCAAAGTGCCGAATTACTGAGTTAAATTGCTGTTGTTTCCCAGATATGTACTGGAGGAATGAGAGAGAGAGAAGAAGAAGACTAAGATGCCTTCAGTCACTTACTCACTAATGTTTACTCCCATTAGTCCACAGATAGTGATCAATAGACGTTTGACCCAACAGTCAACTGTAGAGGCCCTTTCTTCCCCAATTTTCTGTCTAACATTCCTCTTCAGCTTCCCTCAGCCCCTTTCACCAGCCCTTTTAGTCTTCAATCCTAAAGCCCATACCACACTCCATATGTAAAACAGCCACAGGATGTTTGCTTAGACTCAACCTCTTAAAGTGTTCCTTCTTTTCACAATTAAGAACAACACACCCCACGTAGGTATCCAGTTTTTCTGTCTGAAAAATGTAGAGTTCTTCCCTCAGAAAATTGCAGTGAGATTTCTTGAAATGATGCTTTCAAGGGACCATTGTTCGTCCCTAGTCTTGGCTCAGATCCTAATAGATAATACAGTGGTGTCTACTCCTATCATCACACGCACCTTCACTTCCCGACTATTGCCATTACTGCTCTATTTCCACAGCTGCTCCATCACACTAGTACCACTAGACCACATCCTTCCAACATCCCACTGCTGGTAATCCTGACTTTTCCTTTAAAATATGGAACATAGAGCTTACATATTCTGAGGTAAACTATCCATGAAGCAAGAAACTATCCTTTGGTGATCTGTAGGCATAATGTTACAGTGGTACCACTCTGCTTCCCAGACTTTCAAAGGACCAACTTGGAATTTTGACTTTCATTTCCCTTCTCATTGTCATGATGATGACAAAAATAATCATCAGAAATGCAGTAATAATAATGAATCCTGCTGTGAACAAGAGGGAAAAAATGTGACCTGTGGCACAGGTCATTTTCTTATGTTTACTAAAACCTTTTTTCGCTCACAGCCACATTTGATTAATGTCCCAGCTAATTATCTTTAACTGGTGGACCAAGGATTTGCATGGCAGGACTCCTCCATCATAAATAGTCAGAAAATCTGAACTGAACTTGATGAGCAAGTGGTAGAGGTAGGGTATGGAATCGAGGTTCTTGTACTGACTCCATTGTTGGCCTCTGAATGACCCTCCGGGAGCCCCATAAAATTGCTGGGCCTCAGAGGATTACTCAGTTCCCAAACCTGTCCTATTCAGGGCCTAAGGATGGTCCCTTCTCTCATTGGTGAAGTGGAGAGTAGATGCATGCATTCACTCTAGCTCTGGGACATCTGACATCTACATCTGTAAGAACGCA